CCTTTATACCATTAACACAGAACTTGGGTGTCCAATATTCAATCCAAATGCCAATAACTCTTACAAACCCATAGATGACTCCCAATGGACTATAAATGACTCGTGCAATACACTACAACAAATCAATCACACGCGTCTTACATTTTTTATGACCAATCCCTTGATCACAAAAGTATAAGGGAAGCCAAATTCTCATAAATCATCACACAATTCATAATACACATACGTTTACACATCTCCCTATTTGCACTAGCATTTTGGCCCTGTTTGAACTTTACAACCACATCACATACAACCCAAGGTACAAAATACACATTTAAATCAATTTCACAATTAGTACAAGTAATAAAAAAATCATATGATAACCTAATTGGTAAATATCAATTAAAATACACATAAATAAATCTATGAGGCCTACAATTAAGATTTCAGCAAAATCCTATGCCTTTGGTCATTTTCCTAATCTTGATCCAATAAGCTAGTTCCTATAATATGAAAGAGACAGCGGTGAGTATAACTATTAAGTAACTAAGGTTAATTTAGCCTACACAAGTGCAAGTCAATCAATTATGAAGATGCAAATGGCAATTACACAATTTTCACAAGTATGTTTACTTTTCAAAATATTGCTACAACCATAACACTAACAACCATATGACCGAATACAAACATATATCAAGAGTTCCTATCAATTTTACCTATCAAATACATGAGGTCATAATATTGACAACCATGTGCTCCTATCAAATGTGCCAAGCCATAATAATATCAACCATGTAGTTGGGATATGATATTCATAATCAATGCCATTATTATACCCTTCTAATACCTTCAACATAAAATTGGTGGCTATTTAGTAGGCTACGTCCATAAAATTAGACTACCCAAGTATTCTACTCATGAGGACTTTCCCAACTAAAGCTACTATACTCACTTGTAAGTCTTTATTTCCCCCAATATTAACAATTATAAGGTGTTGTACACCTAAACTAACCTCCTCATGAACCGATAGAGACTAGTTAGGTTTGAGTCCCTCAAAAAATAAGTGAAAAAATCCCTCTATAATAATGGGATAATGACTACCTCCCAATGTCAATGGTTGACAGCTTGGCTAGCTTCCAATTCTAATGGTAAGCAACCAATACCATGTAGATTTACAGCATCTACTCCTATTCCTATAAGTGAACTCTAACCTTATATGATCAAACCATGCACAAATATTCAATACATAGCAAGCATTTTCATATTCATCAATAGCATGCAAATCATTGATATCATTCTCATCATAACATACTCAACACATATTTCAATTGACAATCTCCCCTTTTTATATGCATCCTTACACATTGCCATGTTTACTCACAACCACATTCATACATATGCATATATAATTATATAGACAATCATTTTTACACATCATTACTCTATGCTCATCATATCACATATGTTCACTCATATTTGCCATAATTTGCATCAAATGTAAATTTACAATCATTTGGTTTTCAAACAATTCCTTTCAATATATAGTCAATTAACAAGTAAATGTATAAACTAAATTTTTCTCAATTAACTCAAACATTTGAGATGTCAAATGTTTACTATTTAATTACAAACACTTTCAAAGCTTTTCTCAAGCTCAAATATATATTCACATTTACACATGCTTATACCAATAGCGAATATGCACACAAAATAGTACAAGTAAGTCACCACAATAATATATATACATGTATGCATTCTAGTTGGCAACTCAAATACTTTATATATAAATGTACATTCATATACTAAAGAGTAGCATTATAATTGTAGTAATGCAACTACTCTTCTCCATTTCCTTTCTCGACGTCTTCAAGCTCTCAACACCTGAAAATAGGAAGTAACAAAATGAAACATACATCCTAGTAACTTAAATAATCCTAATCAATTAACAAATAAAACTATTCACAAGATATAGAGTAGCCTCATTTTCATAATATCATGTGCGTGTGCGTGTGTGTCAATAATATGCAATGCACATATTATTATGAATGAGCATGTATCACTATCATCTACCAAACTTCCAAATCTCCTGACCGAACTCATAGGCTATGCATAGGACCTCTTTAGTTGGTCTAAGCTCACCATCAATGGAATTATGGTTGATATTTCTTTACTACTGATGAACTATGAATTCCCCCTAACCAATCGGTTGGGAGTCAAATGAATACTCCCCCTACCAATCACTCACATAATGATAGGGAGTTGTCCAACCATGCTAGTCAACCATGTTTAACAAGGCAAAGGCATCACACATGCCAGAAGAACCATTGTCACACATTTTCACAAGGTGAACTCCTATCTCGAATCACAAATAAATGCTTATGCACTCCTGAGTCCCACTAATGGATCATAATCAATAATTTGGACCATAACTTTTTAGCTTTACACAAAACAAGGCCACGAGCCTCTACTTTAGACTAAGGTATCACTTCTCATACATTTATCACATGCATCATTTCTCACATGCATCACTTTTCACACACACATGTATCACTTTTCACATGCACCACATGTATCACTAGTCACACGCATTAAATGCATCACAAGCCACATGCATCACTGTTCTCATAAAAAATCATAGTATTATATAAATAATTTACATAAGTAACTTTAAATAATTTTACAGACTAATGGATAAAAGAGTTTATTCAATTACTTCATTATTTTTACCAAGGGTTACCATTTGCACTAAATCACTTATAATTTGTAAACGTCCACAAGTAATCTCCTAAATACTCAATCCATAAACAGTGTCCTTTGGTTAACTTCCAAACTCAAAGCAAGATATTAAATTTGACTAAGTACATTACTTAGCACTCCCATCCATCTCACTTACACTTTTTAGACTCACCTTAACCCATTAAACACAACCACACACTCTTAGGCAATTGAAATGACTAAACCACCTCTCAACACATTAAACAAGCATTTCTATCCTTTTTAATTTCTCAATTTAGGTCAACTTGAGCTTATAGCTCAAAAGTTTCACCATTAACTCCCAAACTAGTCATAAAGCCTTAGCTTAACTCCTGAGGCTCTTTCTAATACTAAAGAGTAATAAAACAAAATCTTCTCTATTTTGTAATAATCATCAAAATCGGGGTTTAACACAATATATATATACACACACACACACACATATATGGAACGAAATCATGGATTCACACATCTATGATACTTGTAACCAAATAACAAATTCTTCAAGATTAATGTCAGGTGAGATGAGTAGAAGAATTTGGGCTTAGATACTGTTTATGTCTAAACTTAAGTCTGTACAGTGTTAATGATAAAAACAAGATGACATATGGTCTTATGAGAAAAGAGTAACATTGTAGCATGTGATTTATACATGTGCTTAAGCACAGCAATTGGGACGCAAGTGAATAGATCCCTACCCAAAAAAGAATAATTTCATTGATATCCTTTGACTTTGACAATACCAAGGAAGTAAGTTACAGTGCCTGTTACTTTAACATATACCCTATGATCATGATAGATGTTACCTAAAAGTTATGAGCTAGAAAAGAAACTATTTCTTATCAAAGTAATATTTGGATGAAAGGAAGATTAATTACCTAATATACATGCACTTGTGCTAGTGTTTGAAACATATCCCTTATGATATCATTGTATGGATTTCATAAGTGTGGACATCGTACATATGAGAAAGGTTATCTGAGTCTTAAACTAATTTAAGAGAGATTAGATTGACCATGAAAAAAATGTGTATAAATAAATCTAAGACAATCTATGATACAATATTAGTGAAATAACAAATCCACAAAGGAGTTGTTTCATGCTAGTCTGTAAAGGAGTTCTAGTACAAGAACACTAAAGGAAGACATCATGTCCACACGATTATGATAGAGCACCTAGTATGAATATAAGAGAAAATTTATCAAGTGTGAGTATAAGATGTTGAAATATGATCCACCCTGATGAATTGGACCATATAATCAAAAGCCCAAGCCCGATAGCAATTAATTAAGTTTAGGTAAATTATTTTAATTAAATAATGTAGGATTGTGGGTTGCAGATAAGTTAGTGGAGCAATTATAATTTTGATTTTAAAATTATGTAACTAGGCATATTTCAATCGTAAAATATGGGAACCAAAAACTGGCTTAAAGTAGAAAACTTTTTCTCTGTGACTACTTTCCCTTTTATCTCTCAAAAAACATTGTCCATCTATTGTGAAACTTCATCCAAGATTCGTAACTATAACTCGAATCTATATGTGATTCAAGAGATCTACCATCATCACAGACGTTTTCTGTTCCAAATCTTACAAGTAACATAAAAGTCCGTTATTTATGGGATAAATTTTATTTAAAAAAATTCAATTTAAAAACTTTACTAATGCACCCAACTAGAAACCAATTATGATATATTTCTTATTCTATAATTTGCAGTACTTTTTGTTATCATAAAGGCAAAGACAGAAAATCCTCTTCAAAACATGTATTACCCAATCCTAGTTTTTCTCCCATCTAACTGACCCTTTTTGTACTCTCTTTATGCAGTGATCTAATTTTTGTAATAACTAATATAGAGTTGAGTATTCCCAAGTTCATATGGGAAGTGGCTTCTACCACGTGATTTTATTTTTTATTTTTTTTTGGTCCCCACTTACAATGTTTACATTTATGATCCTATTTGACATGTTTCATTTAATCCAACCACGTTTGTCAATCCTATCTTATACTAGCTAAGAATCTTCAGAAATAAAATATATCATAGTTTTACTACACTTTTCTTTCATTCTCTTGCGTACATCATTTACACATATGATAAGGGGAGAAAAAAATACCAATAATTACATGATTTTGTCTCTCCACGCGGCATTCAATTTTCGGCCAATTATATTGCAAACTTCTAGTGCCCAATCCAAAGTACTTCAAGGAATGAAGTATGAGGAATAAAAAAGGAAAAAAAGTGAGTCTTATCTCTACACATGCAGGTTCTACATAAATGGAATCCCACCTCTCACTAATTTAATCATAGAATATTTTAGTGAAAAACACACTTGTTGCTGTCATAAATAGACATGAAGAGTGCTGGCAACACAAATCAATTATATACATGGCCATGAATTTGTTTCGTGGTATACAACAATTATACCTCCTTGTCCTGAGTTTACAAACTCTATTTTACTCAGTCCCCACGGGTGAATCACAATAATGATTCCTTCCCAATATGTGAAACAGGAAGCCAAGCTTTCTTCTTCAAGGGTCCCATTATGCATACCAACAAGAAAATCCTGAAACATGGATGGAGACTCTTAGTTCAAACTAAACATGAACCATAAAAACAGTCGAGAAAGGGGGACAAGGATATATAAACATGCAGGCATTTATTTATGCCAAATTTGCTTTTAATATACTTACATGTTGGCCATTGGTTTAATTATCAATGATGTGGCTCATATCTCATAAGCACGTGAGTTAATATCCTGCTACTAAAGTCAACATTTTATTGGTAGATAATCATAAGCATTCTTTGATCTGTCTTGTCTTTGACCCTGGTGTGCCCTTAAATCCTAACTCACCTAGACCTTTTATACCTCAAAAAGTACACCCCAATCTTCGTCTTATGTCGTACCACTTATTGGCTTAGAGAAACCACTACCAGTAATCACCACACGAGCACTTCCCGCCTTTGAAATGATGAAATCTCTGCACATCTCTTAGAATAATTTGCCTACCAAAGATCAATGATATAAATTTCGCAGCGTTGTGGCAATCACCACAGACTCGAAGATTCTTGACCACACGAATTGTTGTCCCAGGTGGGGTACTCAAAAGCCCAAAAGCAATGGCCAATTTCTCACTGTGATATCTAAGAACAACTTCTTTCTCTTCATCTCCGATGTTTGCATGAAAGACGAGAGAAGTATCAGGTACGTACCCAGCTAGCTTCAGTTCTTTTACTAGCTCATCAAGTGCATGGTGCAGAGCAGTAGAAGTGGAATTAACTCCATCCCCAGAAAAGAATTCATGAACAACATTGTTGACCTCTATAGAACTACAACCAGGAACCTTCACTGCACCTCTATCTTTCATCATTTTCCTCAAGAAATTCACGTCCTCCCATTTTCCAGATCTTGCACACAAATTTGACAAAATCACATAATCCCCACCATGAGTGTCATCAAGTTCAAAGATTCTCTGAATTACTTGCTTTCCCAATTCAACATTCCCATGACTGCCACAAGCAGACAGCAATGTCCGCCAGAGGATTGGAGTGGGCTTAATGGGCAATTCATCTATGAATTTATAGGCATCATCCAAGCGTCCAGCTCGACCTAACAAATCAACCATACATCCATAATGCTTTATGCTGGGAACAATCCCATATTTATGAATCATACTACTGAAGTATTCATAACCTTTCTCTACCAATCCATTGTGAGTGCAAGCATACAATATACCCAAAAATGTTATTTCATCAGGCCACACTTTTGCCTTGTTCATTTCTTCCAACATTGACAAGGCTTTGAAACCATGGCCATGAGCGGCATAGGCCAAAATCATGGCTGACCAAGCCTGAGTGTCTCTCACATGCATATTCTCAAACACAGAAACTGCATCATCGAGACTCCCACATTTTGCATACATATCTATAAGTGCAGTATTTACTTTGACATATTGAACAAATCCATTTTTCTTAACATATTCGTGTATCCACTTTCCCAAGCCTAATGCTCCCAACAACGCGCATGATGAGAGGACAACAAGCATGGTGACATCAGTTGGCTTGAGATCCCTCTCTTGTAATTCTCTAAACAAAGCCAATGCCTCATTGGGTTGACTCTTTCGAGCATAACTTGTGATGAGTGCATTATATGTAACAACACACGGTTCAGAAATCTTATCAAACACTCGCCTAGCAGAATCTATGTCATTACACATAGTATACATATGTATAAGTGTTGGGTGTACGTATACATTATCAATGACCCCAAGTTTCAAAGCTAGGCAGTGCACTTGTTTTCCTTCTTCCAAGGCTTTAAATCTAGAGCATGCCTTTAGAAGGGTCGAGAAAGTATAATCATCTGGAAGCAAGCCAAAGCATAACAGTTGAGCTAAAAGCACCATTGCTTGAAGTGAGTTTTCCAAGCGAGCATAGCCACGAGCCATAGTGTTGAACAAGACGATATCTGGATTGGGAATTTCATCAAACATCTTGTGGGCATATTCCATAGAGGAAATGGTTGGGTTGGAAGTGCAGAAATTAATGAGTTTAGTAAGTACTGATATGTCATCTTTGACGTGGGTTTTGATGGCATATCCATGGATCTGCTTAAGCTCTCTAAGAGAGGCACATCTGGGTATGAGAGAGAGCAAGTCGTGAAAAGCTAGGAGGGAGGGTTCGCTATTTTGTCGTATGCCTATGATGGGTTTCGGATAAGAAAGTGGGGTTAATTGGAGAACAGTTGAAGCCATTATCATGCTCCAAAAGCTTCTTAACTAGGTCTATCTGTAAGTGCATGGGAGAATGAGATTATAAAAGGAAATGCCAAAAGATGATATCCCAATGTCAACTTCTCAGCAATGATTATTCGTGTTTAGGATCAGAGGAAGTAATAAAAGCATTTAACTTGTGGAAGAGAGACACGAGCTTTAATTTTCTGCGACAGAAGGATTGCAGAGGAAGTGATATAGAAAGAAGTCAAAAATATCAAAATATAGTATATGAACAATAAAGTTATTTTCTCAATAAATAAACTTCTATAGGTGACCAACTTTCAATAACTCTCCTTTCTTTTTTTTGGGTAATGAATAAAATAATATAATTTATATAAAAAGACATCAATCTTCAAAGCATTTATCTAAACTCAAGTCTCTTTAGTTACATATTAAAGAAATTTATAGAACATTTTCGCAAGATTATACATTTCCTTGACCAGTACAAAACTTGTTCCAACAAATGTTCTGGATATTCCACAAAAACAGCAATATTTTTTTGGGATTATGCCTCCAACAATGACGAATGCATCACATTTTAATATGCATGGATGCTCAATTTTCTTTTCTGGTTATGTGATGCACTTGATTGTAAATACGTCTAATATATACTCAGCAGCAAATTGACAGTAGTATACAACGATACATTTTTGCATTATGTGGTGAAAAAGTTGTGGAAAATAATTGGATCTGCAATAATTTTTTGTGAACCACATAGACAGACCAGATATCCATAGAGTAGAATCGAAAGTGAAGGTAAAATCATACTGAAGAGGGAGAGTGAATAGGAGGGAGAGAGCAAACGGCAAACCAGATAACATCAATAAACAAGAAAGAATGAGTAAGAGGCAAACCAGAAACAACAGACCCACGATCAGCAACTTTGGAATGATATGTTAGAATGGGCCTTTGGATGCTGGGCATTAGCAGGTATACATTAAATCTATAAGGCTGATATCGCAATTGCAAACCTTGAAAAACATACATTGTAAGTTGAGCTCACTAACTAAATCCTCATAGACATGAAATATAAAACTCTTAAGTAAAAATAGTAATATTAAAATCAATCTATTTACACAGCATCAATATCCATTCGCTGCTCAAAGGATTTCATTGTATGAAGAGGCAATGGTTATTACAATTTATACATATATTATACATATTACACACACACACACACACACACAACTAAAACCTACATAAATCTTTTATCCAACTCAACTCACGATCATTTTTTTTTTTTCCATTTCATTCAATTCTGATTCTGACCATCACAAACCCCCATTCCCGGATAACAAAAGGCCGTACATTTGGCTCACCGAACAAAAAGTACAATGTTTTCAGGAAAACCAAGAGTATTCACATGCCTGAAAAGGAAAATGTCATGGCCCTATATCTGGCTCCAATTCAGTGGTTATTTTGGCAAAACCAAGTGTATTCACATTGATTTTTAGATTATTCTGTATCACTATATATCTGCACACATGGGCATTGTAAACTAATTTTGGGTAATATCGTGAAAGATTATTTGGTTCATTTTTCGTTATTAAATCTTAGGTGAGGTCAGGTCAGACCTTTTTTGCTAACATAATTATATATTAGTGGATATTAATCTTCATTTTTAAAATCCAATCAGGTTATTCACCATATATATCAGTAGAGATGACATGAGCTGTTTATCTTAATAAGAGAAAACTTCAACTTGCTACAGTACCTCCGGCCATGACAGTACACAGTATCACAAGCGTCGAATATACCCATGGATGAAGTTCAAAGAGCCAGAGATACAATCATGTGTGGCATTTCATCTTCTGAATAAACTATAAATTTGTACACAATACAAAAACCTCTATTTACATGTACGGTGGAAAAAAATCCAAACAAGTTCAATAATGCAACTCATATCACATGCAGCACGTGTTAACCCCCCCCCCCCAAAAAAAAGAAAAAAAAAATTTAAAGCTATGGACTCTGCTTGACTGCTTCCTTTACGATCGGCTGGGGAAGACCGCGAGAATGAAAAAAGAGTTGAGGATTACTTAAGATTTTTAAACAATAAAATTAAAATAGTGAAATATTTTTAACACTCAAAGCACAAGAAATATAAAAAAAATAAGAAAATAAAAACAAAAGGGTTTACAAGCCAAACATTTATAGAGATCCAAAACACAGCACTATTGAAAGGAAAAACGAAGAACAACAGCACAGATTATTAGGACAAAAACAAATAATATATATATATATAGAGATCCAAAACAGAGCATTATTAACCACAAAAACAGAAAAAAAAAACATATGGAAGGAGAAATAGTGATTTGAAATATGAACCTTTTCTGGCATGAAGAAGATTCCAAATGGTATGTGCTTGAGAATTGAAGGTAGCATCTGGAATTACAAAACATCAACAGCTCAAAGATTCAATTAAAAAAGTTGAAACTGCTTAAAGAGTATAAAAATCAAAGAAGCTAGTGATACCCTGATGGAGCGACAACGGCGACGGAATACGCGGCAAGCTGCGACGGTGGCGGACGGTAGGCTGGGGTCGGACGGCGACGGACAGTCAGGCTGCCGAATCGGCGTCGGACTCACCCTGCAGAACCAGATCTCGTGGAAGATGAAGGGTGAACTCGGTAGCTGAAGCGGCGGCGGCGGCGGCGACAAGGTGCGACTTCGAAGACCGGCGGTGTTGCATTGACAGACGAAGAAGACGGCGGTGGACGGCTTCGGCGGTGGTCGTCGCTCTTCACGAGCGATGAGAGGGAGAAGAGAGGTAGATCTGCGATTTTGGGGCAAGGGATAGGAAGGGTTGTCGCGTTGGGTCGAAACAGATGGGTGGGGAGGATCTTTGGCGTATTTAAATAAAATAATAAAATAATCATAAAAATAAGTAATTTACAGCTTCATTTTCCACAGCATTAATTTAAATTATATCTTTATAATTAACTTTATTTTAATTAAACTTTTATAATTTAATTGATTAATCATTTAACGTTAAAATATTAAATATTTTTTAAAAAATAAAATTAAAAATTCTTATTTTTTATTAAAATATTATTTAAAATTAATTATTTAATTTTTACTACTCAAAATTTATATAATTAAATTACGTTTTCTAAATAAATTATATATATACTATTGGTTAAAAAAATTTATATGCACAAAATTTTCAAAAAAATTAAAATTGTATTAAATCAAATTTTGTTACCACTTCTTTGGCAAAAAGAATTAAATCAATTTTTATATAAATTTTACATGTGTTTTTGTTTTAAAAAAATTAATCATTTATTAATAATTTTAATTTAATTGTCAAGAAATAATATATTTAAACAATCAAACTATAAGATTTTGATTAAAACAAAATAAATTATGGAGACTTAAATCAAAATTGATAAAAACTAAAAAGACCTACAAGTTAATTTTTCCAAAATAATAACATATGGACCTTCCCATAGGTTGGGGTTCTTAAATTATATTCTCATCTCTGTATCTAGAGCCAATAATTTATGTTAGCCTAAATAAATTTAAAAATTTTTAAGGTTGGGTTTGGAAGTTTATAAAAATTTCTTTACTTTAAAGTTATTTGGGCTGCTTAAAGAAATCATGGCCAAGCCCAAACCTAAATGGGTTTGACCCAAATACCTAAATTTTTTTATTATCAATAAAATAAAATTAAAGCAAGATGGAGATTAAAAATATTAATTTTTTAATAAAAAATGAAACCAGATAAAAAAAGAGAAAATAAAATAAAATAAATATTTAACAATTCGAGTATTTGAGCCAACTCAAATAAGCTCAAAGCCTAACAAATCAAGGCCAAACTCTACTATATGAGTTTTTTATACGTTCAAGCATTTTAAACTGTTATGAGTCCCATATCAGGAGACCACATTAGTAGTGTGTGATTTAAAAGTCATATAGACACCCTCCCCTATGAGGTGTCTTTTAGGGATGAGTTCTACCTAAAGGACTTATAATCATGACATTGCTGCTCTCGTTGAGAGTCATCATTCGTGAAAAGAGCGGCCCACATAGGGGCTAACCAATTGAAGGCTGAGTAAAACACCATGGAGCGTAAGCTACAACATCCTGAATTTCTTAATCCTAAGTTAGAGATTAATCAAGGGTGAAGTGAAAATTAAAGTAAGATTAAAGATTCGGATAGTTAATTGATATTTTTGACTAGTTTGTGTGTTGTATGAACAGAGATGGGTGTTAGAAGTGCGTTTCGAGTCAAAGCAAGTGCGCGTGGTAAGAATAAATCTCACTGTGCCACGCGCCGCAACTTGTGCTGCATGCGTCGCAGTGCATGGACCAGAATTTCACTTCATAAGTCATGAAATTTCAAAAATTTCAGAGGAGAACATTTGAGAAACACATGAGACAGAGAGAGGAGTAGGGCTGAGGAGCTAGGTTAAGTTATTTTGGAGCGGTGGAAGGTGATTCAAATCGATAACTTACCAGGTAAGCTACGTATAACTCTTACCTTCTATTCTACACAAATTTCTCTAAACATGAGTTACAAGGAAATTGAATCGGTGGAATTTGAGGGGTTTGATTCTTGCCCAATAGTAATAAAAAGGTTCTTGAAAGTTAAATTAAAGCTTTGTGACTGGTTTAGAGCTGAACAGTAGAGCTTTAAACTCGGAGGCTCAATTTTAGCCTTTAGAGAGAGAAAGTTAGGGTAAAAATATAATCTGAGTGAAATAAGACTGGTTGAGGTGGTGTAAAGTATGAATTAAGTAGTTATGGACTTAAAATGGATAAATGGAAACGAGTTTATGAATGAATATAGCCCTAAGTGATAAAAATGAGTTTTTAGTCAATAGGCCAAATGACTAAAATGTGCCAAATGTGTTCAGATTGGCATATTAGACTCGTGAATAGAGAAAGAAAGCTTGAGAAAAGCTTGAGTGATAGTTGAAATTCATAGGTAACCCTTCTTCTGATAGAAGGGTTGAGGTAACTGGATAACTTCCTTTATTTGACTGTTTATTATAACTGTATGTTAGTATGCTATATAATGCATGAAATGGCTTCGAACTAAGCATGTTTTATAGCATTGAGTGATTGTTGTGTGTGAAATGGCCTTTGATTGAAATGAGCATTGAAATTGTGTTTTAGTGCCTTGAAAGGTGCTATGTTAGAGAAGATCTCCTGAGTGCCTATTAAGGTATTGTGTTGGAGATGAGAGATTTCTTAGTATCTTTGTGATACGGGTAGGAGTCAATGATGCTCCATTGTGTGTATTGGGAAAAAACCATAGTCCGTATTGTCTGTTGGAACATCTTTGGCCGGATAATTCTACCACTGCAGGTGAGTTCAAGACTAATGAGAGTATACATTGGTCTGAGATGAGCCTATGGTTTTATGTCAAGATGATTTGGAGGTTTGGTTGGTAGAGATCATGCTAGTATTTTATGTGATATGATAAAATATCTTGAGATAATACAGAATCTTTTAGGATTGATGAAAAGTGAAAAATGAAATCTGATATGTGATATAAATACTACTTTATGAGGTTTTAATGGTATACTATATTTACTTTCATGTTGTTGCATGTGATAGTCAATAGGAGTGAGTTATTCTATTACCAAGATTTTTATCATACCCCCATGGTTACATGTTTATAAGATCGAGAAGTGATCAGGCCAAAGAAGAGTATCTGGACTGGCTTGAGTTGTGAAGCCGTATACTCTGGGTTTGTGTAATGAACTGAATTAAAAGATTGTATATAATAGTGTATATGAGTTGCCATAGGGTTGCATGCATGTATTGAACTGAGTTTTGGTGAAATCAAGCTTGATTATATGTATGTGTTATTTGAGACAAAAGGGCTTTAATTTGAGTGTGTTTGTGTTGAATTGGTTGTATATGTTGGTAAATCTTAAGTCAAAAGCCAAAATTATGATGAAATGAATAATTTAGGGGCAAAAATTGTATTATGAATATGATAGCATATATTTGTACTTGATTGAGTTGAGAAGTAGCCAAATGGGCTATGTTATGCCAAGAAATGGCATAGTTTGTGAAATTAGTAAATTATAAAAATTGGCCGTAGAGGGGTTAAATTTTAATATATGTGTATGATTGTGATTAATTGTGATCAATCAAGTATGTTCAATCTTTTTAGACTTGGTTCAAAGCCTAGTGTGGTCTAATGAGAGTAAGGGCGCTTGGGTGAGCAAAATTTTTAGAAAAAAATGACTTTTTTATACCCAGGTGTCCAAATTTTGATCGAATCGTTAGATCATGTCTAAACCTATCTCATTAGTTAGTATGCGAGCTAACTTCGTGTGGGCGCTTGAATCACTCTGATCGAATGCCGTATGCAAAAATGGTGCAGGGTAGAAGTTCATCATTTTTGCTATCAAAATGACAGTAGAAATCTGGACAGGCGCACCACAGCACATGGAGACACATGCCACGGCGCACAGCATAGACAAGGCAAGCATGTGGCTCTGTGTCATATGCCGCGGTGCACTAATCGTCTGCCACAACGCACGGACCAAAACTTCAGTTTATTTATATGCTGAATTTCATGCAATTGAGATAGAAATTCTGGTAGTTTATGTCCTTATGTATTTGAGGTGTGTATGATTTAATTCCATTGTGTTTTCTCTAATTGTATTGTGATTTAATGGATTTTATAAAGTAAGTCTTTGGCTGAAGCTTTTGAAATGAATTTGATTATTGTGAATGATGTGAGTTAATGGTAACACTGTAGTCTTCTCTTATATTAGGTGGATATATGAGAGGAGGTTACGTAAGTAGTCGTGGACATTGGCTCTTGAGGGGTGGGTTAAGTTATAAGTCCCATATCAGGAGGCTACAATAGTAGTGTTTGGTTTATAAGTCATCTAGGCATCCTCCCCCTACGAGGCATCTTTTTAGGGTGAGTTTTACCTAAAAGGCTTATAGTCATGTCACGAGTTTCACGTCAAGGAACCTCATAAGTGATATGGGGTTTATAAATATAAGAGGTTCTCCCACCCAACAAGCTAGTCTTTTAGAATGGGCTTTCTCTTTATATTTATGTTCATCACATTGGTGCTTTCATTGAGAGGCCGATGTCACAGAAAGGGATACCTACTAAGGGTTTTGACAGGCAAGAGGCCTTGTGAAGTGCCATAGAGTGGACCCACTAAAGACGTCGGCTCTTGACATGGTGGCATTGTCAAGAGTCCTACATCAAGAAATCTCACAAGTGGTGTGGGGTTTATATGTTTAAAAGCTTTCCCTTATAATAGGCTAGTCTTTTAGGATATGCTCTCTCTTTAGGCTTGTGCTCA